GGGCAACGATGCTCTTAAACACAACGATATAATCGGACTTTGATTGACAAAAATGGACTTTTATTGAATATGGAATTCGTTTACATGGTGATGAACAAGATCGGAAATAACAACAAAAAGTACAAGAAAACAAACTGGAAATCTAAAGAATGAAGTCGATGTGATTAGTGAATTGCTCTAGGGTTTTTCTCGTATCCTTTGTACTCCAGTTTAGCTCTCCTTTTATAGTCCTTTCTTCCTCTAACTGTTTCCGCGATCTCTGGGATCTCGTCTTTGACCTCGTAGTGTCTAGCTCGATGTCGAGTTAGTGATTATTCCAGATGGGCTTGGGCTTGTTTAGATAGATGCCAAAATTGGGTCCAACATTGACCTCGTGTGCGATTCAATCATTATCCAAGTATATAATTCACAAATTTCTGGGTTACAACCCAATTAACCAACAATCTTAAAGAGTACTTTTCTTGTGAATTATGGCTGGTGTAGCAGTGCGAGAGATGACATCAAAGTTTGGAAAGTTAGATAAATCTGAGGGAGTAGACTTTAGAAGATGGCAAAAGAATCTGCATTTTCTCCTCACAAATCTGAATGTAGTGTATGTTTTAAGCATGCTTATGCCTACTGTGCCGGAGGATGTTGAGAATGAGTCTTTGGATGAGACAAGGAAGCAACTTAAATGGGAAAACGATGATTACCTATGCCGTGGTCATATTCTCAACGGTATGTCAGATCCTCTCTTTTATGTTTATTAGAATGTTGAATCCACAAAAGAGTTATGGGATGCGTTAGAATCAAAGTACATGGCTGAGGATGCTTCTAGTAAGAAGTTCCTTGTTAGTAATTTTAATAATTACAAGATGTCTGATTCTAGGCCCGTTATGGAGCAATACAATGAATTGCTTCGTATACTAGGTCAATTTTCCCAACACAACATGATGATGGATGAATCCATCTCAGTATCGAGTATCATCGATAAGTTACCACCTACATGGAAAGATATTAAACACATGTTAAACACACAAAAAGGAAGAGTTGTCTCAAACTTGGCAGCCATTTGCGTATAGAGGAATCTCTAAGGGCGCAAGAGGGAGAAAACCTCAAAAATAATGAGGCTGATATTTCTTCCATCAATATGATGGAGGAAGGTGTGAGTTCTAAGAAGAAAAATTGGAGGAAACGCTCCATTAATAGCAACACTTACAATGGATCTACCAAAAAGTTTAAGAGCATTTGTTGGAATTGTAACAAGCCGGGTAGATTTAAGATTTATAGATGATTATTCTCGTTTTTGTTATGTGTATTTATTACATACTAAAGATGAGGCCTTAGGTAGATTTAGATTTATAAAACTGAGGTTGAACTGGAACAAAATAGTTTGATTAAGAAATTACGCATTGATAGAGGTGGAGAATATTATGATCCGGTATATTCAGTCTGTAGGCATTATACATGAAACTATAGCTCCATATACACCACAACAAAATGGTGTATCAGAAAGGAAAATAGAACCCTAAAAGAAAAGGTTAATTCCATGTTATCCTATTCGGGATTGAGTGACGGATTTTGGGGAGAAGCCATGTTAACGGCTTGCTATTTATTAAACAGAGTTCCTAATAAAAGGAACAAACTTACCCTTTATGAACTTTGGTATAAGAAAAAATCCAACTTGAATTATCTTCGAGTGTGGGGATGTAGGGCTGTAGTGCGACTACCCCAACCCAAAATTAAAACTTTGGGAGAGAGAGGCATTGATTGTATTTTTATTGGATATGAAGAGCATTCCAAGGCTTATAGGTTTTATGTAATAGAACCTAATGATTCAATAGCAGTTCACACTGTAATAGAATCAAGAGATGCAATATTTGATGAAACTCGCTTTTCATCTATACCTATGCCAAAGACTTTAGTTTCAAGTTCAAGTGGAACTAATAAAGGAGATGAAACTTTTGTGCCTCCTAATGTGTCACCTATGCTTCGTAGGAGCAAGTGAGTAAGGATTGAAAAATCATTTGGTCCTGTTTTTCAAATATATTTAGTGGAAGGATCAAGAGATGAGATTGGTTTCCAATACTCATATTTTTATCATATTGATAAGATCCGAGAACTTATAGTAAGGCTATGAAGTCTCAAGATGTTGCTTTTTGGAAAGAAACAATAAATTATGATATGAACTCCATGATAGGAAATAATACTTGGATCTTGTCAGATCTCCCACCCGGTTGCAAGCCTTTAGGCTGCAAATGGATTTTCAAAAGAAAGATGAAAGTTGATGGAACAATCGACAAGTTTAAAGTTCGATTGGTTATTCAAGGCTTTAAACAAAGGGAATGTATTGATTATTTCGATACATATGCTCCAGTTGCTAGGATCTCTTCCATAATATTATTAATAGCCTTGCCAGCAATTAATAACCTTGTGGTTCACCAAATGGATGTTAAGACGGCGTTCTTAAATGGTATTTTGGAAGAAGAAGTGTATATGAAGCAACCTGAAGGTTTTGTTATGCCTGGTAATGAGCATAAGGTGTGTAAGTTGATCCAATCATTGTATGGGTTAAAGAAAGCACCTAAGCAGTGGCATAAAAGATTTGATGAGGTTGTCTTATCAAATGGTTTCAAGTTAAACAAATCTGAAAAGTGTTTATATAGCAAATTTGATGAATTCGGTAACGGAGTAATCATTTGTTTGTATGTTGATGACATGTTGATCTTTGGTACTAGCCTTAGACAAGTAGAGCTTACAAAAGTATTTATGTCATCAAATTTTGAAATAAAAGACATGGAAGAGGCGGATGTGATTCTTGGAATTAGAAACAAACGTGAAAACAAAGGATTATCTTTCAAACAGTCACATTACATTGAGAAAATTCTTAAGAAGTTCAGTTGTGAGAATTGTTCTCCAATGAGCACTCCCATGGATCCGAGTTTGAAACTTATGCCTAATACATGACAAGCAGTATCACAACTCGAATATTCTCAAGTGATTGGCTGCTTAATGTATGCCATGACGAACACTAGGCCAGATATAGCTTACGCTGTAAGAAGGTTGAGTAGATACACTAGTAATCCTAGTACTCAACATTGGTAAGCCTTAAAAAGGGTGCTCAAGTATTTTAAAGGGACCATTGATTGTGGTTTGTCATATGTTGGATTTTTTCGGTGTTAGAGGGATATTCAGATGCAAGTTGGATTACCAATATAGAAGATCATTCTTCTACAAGTGGTTGGGTGTTTTTGCCTGGGGGAGGTTTCATTTCATGGGTTTCCAAGAAGCAAACTTGAATTACAAGTTCGAGTATGGAGTCGGAATTCGAAGCATTAGCAGCTGCTGGTAAAGAGGCAGAGTGGCTAAGAAATTTAGTGTACGAGATTCAATTGTGGCCGAAACCTGTATCACCAATTTCTATCCATTATGATAGTCAAGCTACCTTGGCTAATGCCTATAGCCAAGTGTATAATGGAAAGTCTAAACACTTGGGCGTGACACATAGTGCAGTACGTGAGTTGATCACTCACGGGGTGATAATAATAGAGTTTGTTCGGTCTCAACAAAATTTAGCTGATCATTTGAAGAAAGGATTAGCTAGGGACTTAGCGATTAAGTCGGTTAAAGGGATGGGTTTAAAGTCCATTTGAAATCTTTAATGGTGGGATACCCAATTCCCCTGTAATACAACGTTAGAGGCTGAATTCAATGTGGAAAGCTTACAATTAAAGATTGAAGCACATTTTTTTATATATATATAATCCCAAGGTATGTGCTTGGACCTGCAAGAAAACTTAGGTTGAAATATATTCTTAATAAATACTTTTAAAAAATGCATTTGCAGGTGCATGACTGAAAGTATTTACCTATATGAGTGTGAAGTGATGCCGCTTTAATAAGTTGGGACTTGGCTTTGTATGTGCTCATGAATGGATAGGGACACATGGCTTATAATGTGTCAAGTATAACATTTAGAGTAGTGTGGAAACACATGTGTGTATTATCTTCATGTTTCCAAAATAGGTTGAGGGATTCAATCCGTAGGACATCCTGATTCTTGGATATTTAGAATGTGTAATACACTAATATGAAAATTCAATTCTTCGAACATTTTCATTTATGCATGAGTTTGATATATGTATTATTTATTTAATGAATCTATGACTACACTTAAATGGGAGAGGATTGTTATATATTTAAGTGAATGTGAATGGGTACAAGTATTTATTTGAACTATTGCAATTGTTTATATGAACAATTACAACTACATAAATGAAACCTTGCAACTTTTGGTGATTACAACCTTTGGTAATAAACCATATTGATAATTACAATCTTTGGTAATAATTACCTTTATGATTGCAACCCTTGGTGATTAACCATTGCAACTCCTTAACTAACAATTGCAACTCCTCATTAACCTTTGCAACTCTTTGTTTAACCATTGCAACTATTGGTTGTAATTTTTCATTTTCTATATAAAGGGATGTAGGCATTGGAAAATGAGATAGAAAAAATCAGAAACAAATAGTTAGTAAGAGAGTAAGAGAGAAATAGATTCATTATTTAAAGATCATCAAAGATCTTTGAAGAACACATATAAATACTAAAACATCTTTTTGTTTCTTTTGTATCTTAACCTAGAACAAGAGTGAGACTTTAATTTTCTTATCCTACAAAGAGATTTCGTGTAACTCAAAGGTTTGGAATAGAATCAAAATACTCTTTATAGAAAGTAACCTCGTGCGCGATTTAATCATTATTCAAATATATAATTCACAAATTTCTAGGTACAACCCAATTAACAACAGTTTAGATGTTGTTGGCAAAAAACACACAGAAGAAATAAACTTGCTAGTATTATTACTTCACGGGCAAACTCATTATGAAGTGCTTAAAATATTATTGAATAAAAGTGAAAATGTTTCTCTAGCCAAAGAAGGAAATAGTGGTCCACATATAGTCACATACCTAAAGGCCTATACATGTATAGCCCATCATAGATAGAAGAGACCTTATCATCTCCCCTCTTTTATCTTGACTCCAAGCATTTTCTTAAAGCCGATGTCACTAGGCATCACAAAGCTCGTCGAGTTATATGCAGAAGCGCCTGTTTCTTTAGTTTGAAAGGCGCTAAAAGAGGAGCTTGAGGTGTCATCAGATCTCCACTCGGTTAGGTAGCCTAGCTTAGAGGTTACCTCGCTGACCTCAGTGTCTCCTGAAAGCATAGCCACCACTTTGGACATCGGTGGTCTCAGGAAATGAGAAGAGTATGTGCACAGTAGAGCAATTCCTATCACACGTTTTACTTCTTCCATGTTGAATTCAGTAATCGCTTGATCAATTAGTTCAACTTCACGCCTTTTCTCGTGTAGATTCCATGCCTGTATACACGAAGTTGTTGGATTATATCTGCTTTTGATGAATAACTTTTCAAACAAACTTTTGACTAACAAACAAGGATGTACCCATTCAAGAAGATATTTTTTCTCATTCCCCAGGTTCACATCAGAGTTTTTCTTTCCACTCACCAACTCAAGGGCCACAATACCAAAGGCATACACATCTGTTGTCTCTGTTAGGTGTCCACGCATGGCATACTCTGGTGCGACATATCCACTTGCATTGGTACAAACATATGTGTTATAAGTATGTATATATAGTTATATATCTATATATATAAATCAGGGTTTTAAAGCAACAAAAAAAAAGTTGTAGTTGGGAATGCGTACATAGTTCCGGCGACTCGGGTACTTATGTGAGTTTTCGTGTCATCGTATAGCTTTGCAAGCCCAAAATCAGAAATTTTTGGGAGCAGCTTAGAGTCGAGCAAAATGTTGCTGGCCTTCACATCCCTATGTACTATGCGAACAGTCGCCTCCTCGTGGAGGTATGCTAGACCTCTGGCTACTCGCATGCATATCTCAAAACGGGTTGACCAATTAAGATGTAAAGTCCCTCCTGCAACATCCAAATAATAAGTAATGAAGCTTTCTGGAGAAGCAAAGACAATAAGACATGTTTTTGTTCATTACCAAATAATGATTGATCGAGACTTCCATTTGGAAGATACTCATAGACGAGCAAGCGATGATCTCCTTCATAGCAGCACCCGTAAAACTTTACTAGGTTGCGATGTCTAACTAAAGAAATTGCTATGATTTCTGCAACAAATTGTCCCTTCCCGTGTTGGGATCCAACCGACAACACTTTCACAGCAATTTCTCTTCCATCAGTCAGGTTCCCCTGTTGGATTTGTTAGTTCATATCAAAAACACATTTGGCTCACCTTCTAAATGGCTTGAATGTCCCCCAAAGGTTTCAAGGCAAATCTAAAATGTGACTTATTAAAAAAATTGACTTATAATGGTATATAATTTTTTTTTTTTCATATTCACTCATAAATTAAACTAGTTGTTTAAACTTTCCATTAGTTAAATTATATTTAAAATGAAGATTATTAATATTTTATATTTTATTATTTTGACTCTTTTTAATATAAATTTGATTTAATTAAGGATAAATTTAAGAAAAAAATTATTTTAAATTATATTTAATTATGTATATGTAATATATTTAAAATTCAAATCTTAGAATTTTTTTATCTATTTGTTTTGGTTAAATGTATTAAATCAAATTCTATAAAATTACTAAGAAAATTCATACACAAATTGTATAGTTTTTAAAAATTATAACTAAACAATATTTATAAATTTTATCGTATCTAAAAGAAACTAATGATATTACGATTTAAAATTTATTATTTTTTAAAAAAAGATGTAGAAAATTTTGAAAATATTAGTAATAAAAATTTTATAATTATAAAATTAAAATTAAATAATAATTTGAAATTTATAATGTATATTTTAATATATTTATTTTTAGTGATGATTTGCGTTATGAGTTATTACCATATTTTAAGAAGTTTACCAAAAATATAAATCAACATTAAATGTAATGCATCAGTTATTGCCATATTTTATAAAGTTTACCAAAAATATATATCAGCAATAAATGTAATTGTCAATTTCATATTTAACTATAAGTCATGTCATCAATCTTATTAGCCATGTCATCATTTTTTGGTAAAAATGATGATAGAAGTGACATGTGATAAATCACCTTGCAAATAATATATAGGGATTATTTATCTAAACTATTAAAACAGAAGCACAATCAGTATTTGACCCTGGGGTTTCTCAATAATTACAATCTAATGCCATTGGAATTAAACACATGCGTTTTATAACATTACTAAATGTAATAAGCCTTTTTATTCATAAATATCTACAAACTCTAATCGCAACTTACCAAATAAGTAAAACTATAAAAACTAAAAACGATAATTTTACCCGCGCCCTTGTGCGAATGTTTATTTTAACTTGTGTTCAATGTAAACTCATAAAATACTGGTTTTATAAATAATGTCCATGTATATTTTTATGTTTTGTATGAATATCGATCAAGATATGAAACACATAAATTTATGGTCAAAACAATTAACGGTCAAGATATTAATCTCGATTTAGTTAGATAAGTTTTGAAATTAACTTATCTATAGAAAACGTCTAACAATAAACTAAAACATTGACCCGTGTCCCCGCACGATTGTTTGATTTAATTTGTGTTTAATCTAAACTCATAAACCGCGGATTTTATAAAAAAAAAAAGTGCTCATGTATATTTTTTATGTTTTATATGAATCTCAGTCAATATCTGAAACTCATAAACCGATGGTCAAAATAATTAACGGTCAAGATATGAATCTCAATCTGGTTAGATAAGTTTTGGAATTGTAATTAATTATGTTTCATAGATTTTAAATGTATTGGTAGAATATGTATTGTTCAAAAAAAAAAGTGGTAGAATCTGTAAATAAAAGGAAGAAGCAATGAAGTGTTTAATTTATTCTAAATGCAGTGGTTAAATCTGTAAATTAAAAAAATAGTTTTTGGTATTTCAATTTTAATAATATAGATGAATGTAAGCAATGACTTCTAAATATGTTATTTCTTTTCCAAAACGTGTTAATCAAGTTCGTCAATAAATTAGTTATGATTTTCTTCTTAACCTACACACAAGGACCATCGGTACATATCACATGCGTCCAGTGAGAAGAAAATTTCTTATTCACTCAACAACCTAAACATGTCAACCAAAACAGTTTTTACTCTCTTCAAAAATGTCAAAACCTTTTAAAACAGATGATTAATCCAAGTTAAATTGCTTCAATCATAGAAATAATTAAAAAAGTAAATGTTTAGGAGAATCAGTTTCGTCTCTATCAATGGATCTTTGATAAAAGCGATCGACAAAACAAAAGCCGAAGAGAGAATAACCTTCGGTTTGTAATACCGACAGAAATATCTAACTACAAAAAGTTAACGTATAGTCGTATACATATACTTGCGTGACAAAATAAATAAAAAAGATCTACTTTTTTCCCGGAAAAATCTGTTTACCTATCTATGCTTATACAATTTTATTTATTATTTGGGTCCATGTATGTTACTATCATATTATAATTACCCATTTCATTTACTTGTATGATTATGTGGATTTAATACAGTGGATTAATATAAAGCTCAAGCTAAATGTATCTATAATTGAAAATAATAAAACAATAAGCCTAATTTTTATAATATAGTTTAAAATAGAACATACTGCAAGAAATAAATAATTATTAGCAAAATATACACAATAAATGTGAAACTTTTTATCATAAAATAACATCTAATACCTGTTTATTTACTATTGGGAATTAAAAAAATGTATATTCAACATTTATGATGAATTTGAGGTAGAAAATAAATAATATATAAAAAACAAATAAACAAATCATAATTCACATACAAACATATATATATTCATAAAAACTGATGCACATAAACTAAAATCATATTAATTTACTAAACATATTTTTAAGTTTAAAAATATATACAAATAATTATGTACTCCAAATTTGACAAATATAAAAGTATAAAAATACCCGCGTGGACGCGCATGTAAGAATCTAGTTTACACTTATTTTCCGTAGCAAAACATTTTTTTGTAACAAAATCATTACAATTTATAACCAAATTTTTCACTAAGGTACAATGATTTCCTTAATTAAAAGTATTTGTAATAACTTCATTATTTCCAACGATTTTGAGCAATATGAATATAAATCTTATATATTAAAAGAGAAGTAACAACCTTGATTCATGTGTGATTTTTTTTTAAAAATGGACTATTCCTTAGAAAAATTATCAAAATTATCTAATGCTAAATTAATTATAACTAGATCTCGACCCGCACAACCGTGCGGGTATTTTAATACGCAAATATGTAAAATTATATAATATTCCATCCGTTTCAAATTAGATAATGTTTTAAAAGATTTATTTTGTTTCAAAATATAAGATGTTTTGAAATTTTTAGGGGTATCTTGAGGTTTTAAGATTACTTTTAACTATATTGTAAATTGTTCAACCAATAAAATTTTACTTTTTTTAGTAATTGGTTGAATGATTTTAAAATTATCTTTAAAAATAATTTTGTAAAATAATTTAAATTTCTTTTTTTTTAATGATCCAAAAACATCATATATTAAGAAACAGAGGGAGTAAAATTTATCAATAAATAATTATAATTTGTAGTCTATATACTATCCAGTTTTATAATAATATTACGTGGCTTATAATATTATTAATATAAAATTTATAATAATATTTGTAACAATTTTAAAAGACATTATTATGTAACATTTCTAATTTATATATTTTCTTTTATTTCTAAATTTAAAATATATGTAAAAAGTAAATTAAGTTGAACCTACATAAACAAAATTTTGGGATATTGTTAAAAGTAGTTCACATAATTTTAATTTTTTTTTTGTATATAAATAAAAAACAAATTAAAATTTTTAATTATATTTTATGATAATTAAAACTTTTAATCAAATAATTTTTGAAACTATATCTCGAAATGATTCTAAAAGATTTTTAAAAGATTTGATAGAATTTTCTTAAAACTATTTATTTGTATTTCAAATAAAAATCAAAGATATGAAAAGATATTATAATGATGTAATGTAAAATTTTGTAAAATTTCTAAGATAAACTAAAAAATCACACATGAAGCGAGTCATGACTTCTCTTTTAATATAATAGATATCTTGAAGTATCTTTATCTTTCTATTTGAAAACAAAATGAAATAAATCCATCAAAATATTTTTGGCATCTTTAAATTGTATCTTCATAAATCATTGCATTTAAATTTTAATTATCATTAAATATAATTAAAATTAATATTTTATTTATAAATGAAAATTTTAAAATATCTAAGATATTTCTAAGTTATTATATTTTAATATCTAAGATATTAAGATATTTCTAAATTATTATATTTTAATATCTAAATTATTTTAAAATATCTAAGATCTAAAATTCTAAGATATTCTCATTATTATATTTTAATGAGAATAATAATATAAATTGATGGAATTTCGAAAATACTTATTTACAAAATTTAAATAGATTATGTTAGAAAAAAAATACTGAAATTCTATTTCAAATACACAAAATAATATATTATATATTTATTTATCTATACTATTAAAACAAAGTAATGAGTTATTTCATGTATAATTTTTTTATTTGGACCATTCTTTAAAAAATTATCAAATTTTACATATTTTAATTATAATATCAACCCATATATTTATCTTTTATTAAATAAAAATATTTTTATTTAAGAAATTAAAATTATCTAGATAGCACTATATATTCCTAAAACCTAAATAAAAATCTACATACTAGAGTTTGCTCCACACAAATTTATAAATATAAAACTTTGATAGTATTCTAAAAGTTTTAAATATATGATTTACATTTAATTTTATATATTACATACCTCTATAATTTTGTTGTTTAAGTTTCTTATTCGTTATTATTAATATATAAATTGGCAGATTTATTAGCATAGCAAATGTATACCTCTATAATTTTGTTGTTTAGTAATTATTATATATTTGAGTTTGATACATAAATTTTAATCTGAAATAATCAAATATATAATATTCTTTAATATAGAGTTTTAGTTTCTAAAATTTTCATACAATACATTTTAACATTTATTTAGATATACAATAGATGAATATTTGTCAATGATAATTTATATTTCCATTGTTTTAAGAAATTATATTTTAACATCTATCTCATTTGTATTTTGCGCGATTCTATAAATAAATATATTGGTATTTATTAATAATTTCTTTTATAAACTATAAATAAAAATAAAATTCGTACGATTGTATGGTTCAAGATCTAGTATATGTTAATATTGTATCTATGACAATATGACATACTCGTTTCTAATAGTTTTCTTTCTGCCATTTCCTATTCTAGTGCTACTTAGTTTGAGGCTTACCTTATAAACAGACCCAAATCCTCCCTCTCCAAGCTTGTTTGAGGGATTGAAATCTTGAGTGGCACTTTTAAGTTCAGAGTAAGCAAAAGTGTAAGGCTTTACGTCCATATTAAGCATCTCTGCAACAACAAAATAAGAACCAACGTGAATGATGATTAATTATTAATTAGTATTCAAGCTCAAAGACTTGCTTGTGTTATTATTAATTATTTATTACCTTCATCATCAGTGTAACGTTTACGGCTTTTTCGGATGATGAAGATAACCACGCTCGCGAAGATGCTTAGAAGTCCTAGGCCAACAATAGCACCCACAACAGTACTTAACTTATACTTTTTCTTTGATGGTGGTCTGTTGCTCACAGTTGGTATAAAATCTGAACAACAATATGTAACACTTAAGCACCAAGGCGATGATTAAAAAAGAAAGAAGTTCGCCAGTTGTTGTGATACCTGTTTTTGCACTGATGGTCGATATTAGTGGCCCACAAGTACCTACAAAAGGAATAGTAAATGTTCCTTTGCCAGCCCAGAAAAGATTGATTTCAAGATAATTATCGGATACGGCTGCTTTATATTCTCTCTGAACTGGTCGGACAGGAGTATCACCATCTGTTCTGCGTATTTCAATGTCTTTTTCAACAAGTCTTCCCTGTAAACATGGAGCTAGGTCTCAGAATTCAGAAAGATGTTTATTACACCAACAAGTTAACTTGTAAATCGGTAGGGCAGACCTGGACATAAATGTCAAAACGTCATCTTCCTAAACCTTTCCAAACGTTAGAACCAGTGATTTCTGTTTCAGCAAACTGAAGTTTTACGGTATAGTCTCCATTTTCTAGCCCCAACGCATAGTATCTTAATGAAGATGAAGATTGTCTTGCGGTCTGAAAAAGCTCTCCGTCCAACCCGTTGATAACCCACAAGTTATTGATTCTCCCGGCATAAAGTCCTACACTACTGATTGCCCATCTGTTAACATCATTCACGAAAAATGAAGCTGATCCAAGATCCTCTTCCTCGCTCTCAAATACTTCTCCTGTAAGGGATTGTATCTGTGGCCCTCCGCACTTGATTGAAAAGTTAGAATCTGGACACAGTCAACAGAACAACCTTTAGAAATGAGAACTGTTATGATGATATCTGTTTGTCACACTTACAGATTCCTTTGCCTCGATTGCAGGGGAAGTTCTTCTGCAGGCACCTTAGTCCTGGTAAAACCCTTATAAAAAAATAAAATAGATATTAAATACTGAAATTGGAATCAGGTATCAAGAAGAACATATTTTATAAAATCACCTCATGTCAAGACTCTCCAAGGTGAAGTTGTTAGCAACAAGGGTGCTGCACAAATAACATGTGATTTTATTATCTATTAATAATAGGAATCTCAAGTTAATGTGAAAAATGGTGTCTTTTCATCCTAACAATCTCTTTTAAAAATTGCATTGCTTTAAAAATGTTATCAAAATATATAAGTATGTATAATTTCATCTTAACAATGTCTTTTCATTTTAAGAATTACACTGGTTTAAAATAAGTTGTTAAAATGTATAAAGATATGTCTTTTAATCCTAAAATTTGCATTTGTTAAAAAGAAGTGTCAAAATGTCTAAAGATATGTCTTTTAATCCTAAAATTTGCATTTGTTAAAAAGAAGTGTCAAAATGTCTAAAGATTTATATTTCATACCAAATAAATGTTGAAAGTTGTAACGTTTCATCCTAACAATGTGTCTTTTCAATTTTCATCTTAAAAATTCATTGCTAAAAAAATATTATTAAAATATATAAGTATGTATCTTTTCATCTTAACAATGTATCTATTCTTTTTTTTTTGTCAACAACAATGTATCTTTTCATTTTACGAACTGCATTAGTTTAGAATTTCTTAAATGTATAAAGATATGTCTTTTCATCTTAAAATTTTCATTTGTTAAAAAAATTATCATAAAAATGTATATTTTCATACCAAAAAAGGTCAAATGTTGTAACTTTTCATCCTAACAATGTTTCTTTTCATCTTAAAATTGTATTGCTTTAAAAAATGTTGTCAAAATATATAATTATGTATCTTTTAATTTTAGGAATTTCATTGGTTAAGAAGTTGTTAAATGTACAAAGATATGTCTTTTCATCCTAAAATTTTCAATTGGTAAAAAAAGTTATCATAAATATGTATATTTTCATACCAAATAACAGTCGAATGTAACTTTTCATCCTAACAATGTTTCTTTTCATCCTAAAATTGTATTTCTTTAAAAAATGTTGTCAAAATATATAAGTATGTATCTCTTCATTAATGTATCTTTTCATTTTAAGAATAGCATTGGTTTAGAAGTTGTTAAATGTACAAAGATGTGTCTTTTTATCCTAAAGTTTTTATTTGAAAAAAATTATCAAAAATATTTATATTTTCATACCAAATAAAAGTCAAATGTTGTAACTTTTCATCCTAACAATGTTTCTTTTCATCTTAAAATTGTATTGCTTTAAAAAATGTTGTCAAAATATATAAGCATGTATCTTTTCATCTTAACAATGTATCTTTTTATATTAAGGATTACATTGGTTTAAAAGAAGTAATTAAATCTATACATATGTGTCTTTTCATCCTAAAAATTAAATTTCTCAAAAAAGAAGTTCTTAAAATGTCTAAAGATACTTAGTTAAAAAAGAGTCTAGAGATGAATATTTTTCATACCAAATAAATAACTAAGTTTTAACTTTTCATCATAACAATGTGTCTTTTAATCTTAAAAAATGGCATTGCTTTAAAAATGTTGTCAAATATATAAGTATGTATTTTTCATCTTAACCATGTGTCTTTTTATTGAGAATTGCACTAGGTGATTCTTCTGTACTCATGCACGGATATAAATATTTTTAAAATAAATATATTGTAATAAGTGTCTTTTCATTGTAAGAATCGCACTAAGTGATTCTTCCGTACTCATGCACGGATATAAATATATTTTTAAATAAATATATTGTAATAAGTGATTAATTTTTACTTTTAATGTAAAATTTTATAAGTTATATGTATAATTTATATTAATAATATTATATATTTTTTTGAATTAGACATGTGATTTTCTAGATGTAATATCAAATCAGTTTAGTTATCACTTGAGTATATAAGATTACATCTACGTTTTTGAAATCAACCATAATATTTTATTTAACTAAATATATTAATATTTTGCTATTTTAATCATACATTTATGTTGGTTATTTTCTTAAATATATAAATATATTTTAATGAGATTTTTTATAACATAATATTTTTTCGAATCAAATAGAAAACAAATACTAAAGTGGGAATTGATTAAAAATTGCAAAAATATAATATTTTGATTATTATCCATCTATATCTTACAAAAAGAGGTAAATTTTTAAAATTAGTAAAAAAAAAATATTTTTTTATTTTAATACTAGGGGTCTTGCCCGTAAATGTGGGCTTAAATTTTAAAAATATTTATAACTATATATATTAAAAATACTATAAGAATAAATTATTGGTCATACATTCAAAATATCTAATAAAAATCAACAATAAGTTCTTAATGTATACAAAGTTTTTAATCATAACATAAATACTATGTATTACATAAAATAAACCTGAAAACACTTATGTATGCATAATATATATATATATATATAAGTTTATCTGTTTAAAAAAAATATGATGTAAATATTTTTTGGATAAGAAAATATGAACTATTTTAATATGATAATAATTATTAAATCACTGAAATTCGTTTTTAATTTAGGGCTAATTATATTGTAACTAATTAACTATTTATTTAGGTTAAATAAAGACTTTATAACAAAATAAAATATATTTTTAGATAAGGAAAATTATTAAATTAGTAAATTTCGTTTGTAATATATTATTAAAAACTAATTATTCATTGAATGTATAAAAAATATTAACCGAATGCAAAAACTCACTTTGCAAATAATAATATTCATTATATAATAAAACCTAATTATCCATTAAGGTTATAAATGATATTAACCACTTTGAGTTTTAACGTGAGAGTTTGAATGCAAAAAAATCACTTTAAAAATAATAGTATAGATGTTTTGAGGTATCCGTAATTTATATGTATAAATTAGTAAAATATTAATATACAAAATACGGTTTATTTTATTATTTTTCATATTATTAATATTATTTTTGTTAACTTTCCATTTTTATGAAATCACATTAAATATAAATATTACTAAAATTTTTTTTTTTAAAGTTGTATTTTTTTATTATATGTGTTTATTAGAAAAAAATGAGATTAAATTAAAATATTATTAAAAGAAGCTATCAAATAAAAAAAGAAAATAAATGTAATAATAGTAATTAAATGTAATATTTAAAATTCATTAAAATACATTCGTAATCAACCATCGTGAGATTAAGGTGAGAACGATATGTAGAAAGCTGACTTCTCAAATATAATTATAGAGATTGGTTTAAAATATTTTATTAGAGTGTAAGATAATGTGTCTTTTCATCATAAAAATTACATTTGTTAAAAAATTTCCCTTAAAATAAGTTGTCAAAATGTCTAAATATGTATTTTTTATACCAAATAAATTATAATGTTGTAACTTTTCATCCTACCAATGTGTCTTTTCATTTAAAAAAATACATTAGTTTAGTAATATTTCCAGAATATCATCTTAACAAGGTATCTTTTCATTTTAAGAATTGTGTTGGTTTTAAATAATTTGTTAAAAGTGTACAAGGACGTAGCTTTTCAGCGTAAAAATTACATTTTTAAAGAATAATTTGTCAAAATGTCAAAAAAAAAATATATATATATATATATATATATACCAAATAAATTTTGACGGTTGTAACTTTTCATCCATACAATGTGTCTTTTCATCTTAAAAGTTATATTTCTTTACAAATGTTTTCAAAATCTATAAGTATGTATATTTTCAACTTAACAATGTGTCTTTCCATTTTAAGAATTGTGTTATTTTAAAAGAAGTTCCTAAAATGTATAAGATGTTTTTTTTCATCTTAAAAATTGCATTTGTTAAAAAGAAGTTGTCAAAAAATCTACATATGTATTTTCATAACAAATAAATGTCAAAGGCTGTAATTTTTCATCTTAAAATGTTTCTTTTCATCTAAAAAATTGCATTGCCTTAAAAATGTTGTCAAAATCTAATAAATGTGTATCTTTACATCTTCAAAAAGTGTTTTTTTTTTCATTTTTAGAATTACATTGGTTTAAAATAAGTAGTTAAAATGAAGAAGTATGTATTTTCATCCTAAAAAATGCATTTGATGTCAAAAACAAATGTGTTTGTTAAAAAGATGTTGTAGAGATTTCTAAAGTTGTATTTTTTTTATACTAAATAAATGTTGAAAATTATCACTTTTTATCCTAACAATGTGACTCTTCATCTTAAAATTGCATTGCTTTGAAACATGATGTCAAACTATATAAGTATGTATATTTTCATCTTAACAATATGTCTTTTTGTTGCCAAAAACAATGACTTTTTATTTTAAGAATTGCATTGGTTTAAAAGTTTTTGCTAAAAAGTAAGGATGTGTATTTTCATTCTAAACATTGCATTTCTTAAAGTTTTCAAAATGTCTAAAGATGTATATATTCATATCAAATAAAAGTCAAAATTACAATTTTCATTGTAATAATGTGTTTTTCATTATAAAAACTGCATTGCCTGAAAGAGGACGAATGAAGCGGGTTTAGTACGCCCTCACAAAACCGCTCCGAAAGAAACAAAAAAGGGCTGAAAATATATAAGTAGGTGTTTTCAGCTTAATAATGTTTCTTTTATTTTAAGAATATAATGGTTTAAAAGAAGTGGTTATAATGTACAAGGATGTGTCTTTTCATCCTAAAAATAGCATTTGTTAAAATAAGTTGTTGTCTAAAGATTTATTTTTTCATAATGATGTGTCTTTAAATCTTCCTAACGCAATAGTCGTAAGACATTGGCGAATCTATGTAGGGAAGACTAGGTGCCCATGCATCCATTTTTCTGAATTGGCTTTTGAAATTTAAAATTTCTAAAAATATGTCTTATCATCGTATAAGATATTCATCCCCATGGTGAATTAAGTCACCATTCAACTTCCACTACATCTTGCAGTCACAAGAGCTTGGTCGATCAAGCAAATTAACGTCAACAATTCGTTCTTTCATGGTACTCTCAGTCACCAGGCTTCGTCGATTCAGACACCATGTTTGTCGGTTAAAGAAGCCGTTGTATAGACTTAAGCAAGCCCTCAGTACCCGGTATCAGGAACTCAAGACCTTCTTATGTCAAATGGGATGCCATAACTGGAGTGCTGACAACTTT